AACTTTGATATGAGATTTTGAGGCATTCCAGGATTTCTGAAACAGAAACGTGGAGTTTAACTTTTTTCAGCTTTAAAGTCAAAAAAAAAAAAAATTCTGCGTTACGAGCGACCACATCAGCAATTCAACATTCAAGAAAGAATCCTGGAACATTAATAGATGAAAAAATGAAAGAACTATGTGGAAAAATCTTAACAATACCTTCGACTGTTTTATCTTCAACAAAAATTGAATAGGTCATTCTCTGAATATTTTATGAGTAATGTTCATAAAGTATACAAATTGTCAGTTGAAAAGAAATTAAAGGAAATAAAAGATAATTACTTAGCAAATAATGTTAAATTTATCAATGTTATTTAAAAGTATTCCCGATCGATTCTATACTAGATATTGAATTTTCAGTGATATTGAAAGATATGAGCATTTATGATATTGATGCATATGGTAAAATAATGAATAAAATATATACCAAAAACAAGGGATGTTTTATCAAAGAAGTCGCCTTTGCTTTGTAAAGAAAGCTGCTGAAAGAAAATTACAAGTCGAGGACAAACCATCCAACTTACTCTCAAGTGAAAACTGATATTAAAAACTTGTCCTACTACTCACAAATGTTTTTAGAAAAAATCTGAAAGAGTTCAGGTAGATAATTCCAAAAACTAACGATATTAATATTAGCGTTGAGGTTAGATTTGGATGTAAATGTAGAATAAACAGTTTTCAATCTGGAACAAAATTAAGAAAAGCTTATCCTCACAAGATAACAGGATAAAACTCTACAAGCAATTTGAAACGTGCAATCAAAACTAATTTCCCAAAATCCGATTTTCTTCGCTTGTGTCAGCCTTTTTGTCTGAAACAATTGTTCAATATAATTAACTTATTATTAACGAATAAGCATCCTTTTCAATATTTAATTTGTGAAACACTTATTTGTAGCTTATCTTGAACTTGAAAAATTCTGTCTTTCTATATATAAAACGTTCGGGGTCTGAAGAGAAGAGCGATTTTCTAGCAGAAACCGTTTCCCATTCTTTAATGTTCGATAACTAAACCCCTGATCGCCCCCAGTCACACAAAAATATAACTTACTAAAGTAGGAATTAACTTAGCGTTTAATAAAAACTACGTAGCAAAAAAATAGTAGTCATGAATTAACAAACAATTATTCAAGAAATAACCATTTTATAACAGAGTCATCATTGCATACGGTAAAATCTTTCACAAAAATTCCTTTAACATTGTAATAAGGTATTAAAACTTACATGTAAAAGGAAAATAAATATAGTTACAAATGACTCTGTTGATTACGGCATTATTTTTTATTATGGTCCTGAATGTTGTGGCGTTGACTACGGGCCGAATAGCTATGTTATGGGTTCGAGATGCATCGTTATTCCTAGTTCAATATAAGAATTTGATTAAGTTTATGTTGATGGCCAAAATGTTTGTATAATGAAATTGCTTTTAAGTTATTCAGTTGCATTATCGTTTATGTATAGGCAAATTTGAAAATTTTTCTGAATTTTATAATCACCGATGGGTATTTCAAAATGCATGGGTAATTTATTCAACGGCAGTGGTTACATCAACTACGTCATTCAAAATAAATCAGAAATTTCACTTAATATTAGCAGTAGAGGTGAAATAAATAAACATTTTGATATTAATTATTCACAAGTAGAGAAAGATTTTACAGAATTCTGGGTAGGCATACACTAATACAATATATTGGGTTTTCACAATATTATTGGGTATTGGGTCACTTGAGCTAGGCCTACTTTTACAGTACAGATGCATGCTTTATATCCCGTTTTGAATCAAAATATAATCCAATTAGGCATGCACCGATTAATAATCAATATTAGGGCATTCAGAAAAGACGCTCCAAATCAGTTATAAAAAAATGTTATGTACAGAGAAAATGTAATAAGTGGAAAACGCACTATAATCATAATGTCGATCACTATAATCGACAGTCGCTTTTTTCGCAATTTTGCTCAGTTTTGGATGCTTATATTTCTGTCGCAGATAACACTAAAATGTCTTTTTGCACTTCAGTTTGGTAGAATTTTTAACATTTTTCTACAAAATGAGACATTCGGCAGCTCTAAGTGCTTTTTTATAACTGACTTGGAACGACTTTGCTGGATGCTCTAACATCGATTATTAATCGGTGCATGCCTAATCCCGATCCGAATATGCTTTCTCACGTTTTTATGAAGGTAAATGATATTAAGATTAAAAAGTTGGAATTCAGTATATTATGGAACGCAATATTACCCAATATTATTGTACAATATTATTAGTTCCAATATGCTGAGTGACCAATATTATTGGTCCCAATAGATTGAGTATACAATAATATTGGGAGCCAATATTATTGGATAGCCAATAATATTGTACAATATCTTCAATAATGATTGGTATTGGCGCATGCCTAATTCTGATGTAATCATATGCGTATTCATGAATGTGTAGATTGTTAAAAAGTGATGGATGAGTTTCAAAAGTCATATAGATTCATATGTCAGTTTAATCAAGAAATAGTTAAGTCTAATGAACTATGTCAGTTCCAATATACGGTGAAGTCGAGAAAAGTCGAAATGGCCCTCACGCGACGTAGCTCGACCATGAGACAAGACACAAAAAAACTATTTTCCACTATGCGACCTTTTATTTCTAAAAATTAAAATTGTCGCTTCTGAACATCACTCTGTATTATTTTTTCCGTAGTTTAAGAGCACATACAATAACAATTTAGTTTAGATAGCTGAAGAAGTCTCAAGAATTCTTTACAATTTTCTTTCGATGTAATCCGCCGCCACAGTGTGCATCCTGGCGGACATTAAGTGGAAAAATCGAAATCGACTTTTAAACGATTCAAATAGTAAACAATATACTTCAAGACATGCTCTATCCGATGGCACAAAATATTTTGTTAAGAAGTTCAAGGGCGTATGGGAAAACAGCTACGCAAAAAATTAACCTGTAATTACTGATATCGGTGAAAAAAGGAAACTTACCCAAAAATGAAGATTTTGATAAGCAAATGGGCTGTAAACCTTGAATCTCCACAGCATTTAGTATATATAAAGTTGAAAAAAGTTCGTATCTTGCGTTGGAGATAGTTGAGAAAAAAAATAAAAGTTTTTCCTATGTAATTTTCTAAACGGCTACTTTTAGTAAAATGAGCACCCTCTCCACATCCCAAGTCAAAACTCGTTCAAAGTTTCACAGAATATTCTCCCATATATCCTCCATCTATGATGAATACGCAAAAATACGCAAATGTCTCTAAACCTTACAGCAGGTTCTCCAAGAATAGTCAGGTAAGTACAAGTAAGAGTAAAAGTAAGAAAGTAACCACCCCAACTGTTAAATCGCTTTCTAACTGAAAATACGGTTCTTCAAGTAGTCAGTAAACACGCTTATCATAGACCCGATGTGCCGGAAGGCACTTGTTGGATGGTTCTCTGAAAACTCAATGTTAGAAGGTTTACTATGACCTTTTAGCTGATATTCTGATCGCGCTAGAGTGTAGAGCACGACGAGATACCTACCTGAACAAATTTTCCGAACTAATGAGCCAATCTTCGGCGAGATGGAAAAGCTTTATAATGTCAAGTTTCATTATCTATTTTCATTTACAGAAATGTTTTATTTGCTCGACATCGAACAGTGAATGAACAAATATTGAATGGGACGGACAGCAAGAAGTATTTATTACAAATATTTAAAGCAAATAAAAACTATACCATCCTACTTCATCAGACCAAGTGTATTGTGATGGGAAACATTTGAAAATTTCTCAGTATTTACCTTTTTAATTAGAGCTCAGCCTAATTAATGAGTAGAGCTTGGAGATTCTTACCATTTGTAGAGCAGTAATTGATCTATTTACCTGTGCAAAAATTATTAATTAGTATCATTGGCTTAACGAGAAAACTGTTTTTTACTAATGAATTATTTCCCGTGTAAAATACATGGTGTATCCAATTACCCCATCAATTTCTATTGTTATTTCCAATTGTCCCAAGTGGGATAACTGGAAATGTTCATTAGAGCTTTCAGCAAAACATCCGGAAGTTCGCCTGGGATATGGAGTTTTTGAAAATTTTTAGACAGGCTTATAGAGAACTTCCTCCTCTACCTACCTAGAGAATAATCAATAAAATGGTCATTATGGAGAGACGAGGGTAGGCCTCTGGTTATCAACTGTACACTACAATGTCCAAAAGTTCAACATTTAAGGGGCGTCCCCTCATTCAGATTCATCCGAATTTTGTTAGTTTATAGAGAACACTTTGAAGTGTATATTGTGACGTTTTTCGGCTTGCAGATATTATTTTACTGAGAAACAAGTTTCAAGTTTCTTCGAGATTTTCTGCCCTAAGCTTCCGAAGTGAACTCATGAGTCTTTTACCCAACTCTTCCGAACACTTCTATGATACTGGAAAATCTGTTCTAAACAGCATGTATTTAATTATGTTGTTTACGTACTCAAATACATCAGATAGCGAAAAAGCAATACATTCATTATTCAGTCTTTTTAATTGATACTGTACAAAATGGACATGTTACAAAGAAAACAAACGTTATATGTTTGACCTCAAATGGAATTTCGCTAAAACATGCGGGAAGAGAAGAAAACAAAAATACAGTTCAATAATAGTAATTCGACCTTTTTCTTCTTATTTGTGCTGATAAGATGGTCCCCGTACATCAACTTTTTTCTCATCCAGTTCGTCGAACCATTGATTAATACTGCCCAAGAGAATTTTGACAATATACTAGCAAAGCAGGAAACATGATGTTAACAAGATTAATGCTTGCAAAAATGATGCAAATTGCACTTACATCACCAAAACTGAATGGAAACTTTGAACCCTGTATTTTCAAAATTTGCTTCTTTTCAGTTCGATAATCATCCACAACATCAACATAACTAAGGATATACGAACTGCAATGGTCATATTAGACATATAAGCGAAGGTTGCTTACTCAATTGTTTCATCCCAGTTGTTAAGATACCCGATAGAATAATCGTCATCTGTACAAGCAATAAATGTAACAGGAATACGAGCAATGGGATTTCGTTCGTTTCGGAGAACTTGTTCTAAATTTTGAATATCAACGCGTCCATCGTTATCCGTTGGTTCCTGTAGGCAAAGTTTGTACAAGAAGTCAATAAACTGCTTCAATGTAATATGGCATAGAAGTAGTGACACATCTATGTTCCATGGACCATTAGTGCTATTAACTTGATGTTTCGAAAGAAACCAAAGCGAATCGATATTTCCTCTTAAAAGAACAACGTGGTAGAAATAAAGGGGCTTGTTTTCTCATTAAGTCGAACCACTTTGCTTTACGCTAGTTCTGTTTGATAGAGCACATTTAGTTAAATAAGGAGAATGTTTTACTGTAGAATACAACAACAAAGTCGTGTTCATAACGATCAGAAGGACGATTATCCTCAAAACTTGTGCGAAAGTATTTATATATGAAACTGTTTACCTCAAACTTCTGAACATCGAAGGTATCAAATTGTAAGTAGAAAATTATATGCCAAAATTCTTTACATTTTTTTTTATTTATGACAGTCATAGCTATCGGATATACGACCATATAGAGTCATATGAAAAAATTCTAAGTTATTCTAACGAGGGAACATATCCAACTGTCAAATCGCTTTTCTAACGAAATGCGGTAGCTTATAGGTAATCGATTATGCTGATTCCGAATATGATAGCCGTTTTGGCCCATAGGCCTTTTCTAACCGGTTTCTGGAAAACCAGTTTTTCAGAAACCTCCTTTCAGTCACCTAAATAAGTCACAACTGTAGCTCGCGAAATTCTGATTAAAATGAGACATCTCCCAGCTCTACACGATCTTTCTTTGCAAAGTTATGGAATTTACACGAAAAGCCCTAAATGTTTATTGTCACCTCAGGGCTACAGAAAGAAGAAGGAAAGATGAATTTAGGCTTTTCGTGTGAATTCCATAACTTTGCAAAGAAAGATCGTGTAGAACTGGGAGATGTCTCGTTTTAATCAGAATTTCGCGGGCTACAGTTGTGACTTATTGAGAAAAATTCTTGGGAATTTTTCGAGATTTCTGGAAAACTGATTTTCGAGAAACCGGTTAGGAAAGGCTTATGGGCCAAAACGGCTATCATATTCGGAATCAGCATGATCGATTACCTATAAGCTACCGCATTTCGTTAGAAAAGCGATTTGATAGTTGGATATGTTCCCTCGTAAGTGTCAAAATATTCGCACTTATATTTACACAAGAGTGGAAAATAAAACGATGATTCAAGAATATCCAAGGTCTTGATACAAGAAGTCAGAAAATTACAAAATGTTCAAGATCTAGACTTCTTGAATTCTTACATTTTCTTACCAACAGCTTACTGAAAAAGTTCAAGGAGTCACGATGTTGGTTACAAGAAGTTTCACTAGGGTTGTACGTCACTTAACAGTACTCGATCGTATTTCTCATCAAATGACTTCTAGAGTTTTGGTTGTGGTTTCATGCTATGAATATAAAATTTCTAAAACGACCGTAGATCAAAAAGCACCTAATAACAATAAGATAAAACAAAAACGTGAAAATTGTACTGCAATGAAGAGTAATATAAATTGATGATAAAGAGAAATAATCTGAAATCGATTTAACGCTTCCCTATATAGGATCAAATGGAAGAAACATTCGAACCTCGTGAATGATACAAGGTATTAATGTGAAACTAATTTGGATGAACGGCATCAGGTATGCACTATAATCATTCCAAATATCAAGTTATCACTAGTGGTCATGAAACACGAATGTGTCGCTGCTTTTATGGATTAATATACGAACTTACTCCGTCCGTTGCAATCAAAACTAATAGTTTTCGTTCTTGTATTTGTATTTTCTTTTCCGTTAAAACTTGTCGCAATACTTGAGCAATTGGAGTCGGTCCTAAAATTTACTATTTGGCTTAAAATTTATATTACAGTATGAAATATGCATACATATACCTTCAGGTAGAACAGCAAATGTTGGCTGAAGTTCTGACGAATCCCTGACATGTAAGAGTGGTTCTCGGTTTAAAAAATAAATATCAACACCATCTGGGTCTAGGACTGATGCAACATCCACAACAAGAGATCTGTTTAGTTATACCGTGGGTATGTAGCAAATATTATTCTTTCACCTGTGTCAACAATTTTTTATCAAGTGCACTATATTTTCTTCGACAAGTGGCGTTCTCATTTTTCACATATTTTATGCATTGTCGATTTGAAACGATTCGCTTTAATTCATCCCACCTAGTTTCTTTTGTATCAAAAGGAGAAGTTAAAGCGCCTAAATGAAATAAAATTTCCTTGATCGTAACAGATTCTCGCAGTTGCTGGTCTCACATTTTCATTATGATTAGTTTTTGTTTGATTTTACAATCACTAGAAAAAATTGGGGCTTATATCCTAGTACACTTTTACCTTACCAACTGGAGTGTTCATCGATCCAGAATCATCCACAATAAAAACAATTTCGAAGCCTTCGAGATCTCTTAAACACGTAGCATAAACGCGATTGATCTCGTAACGATTGACAAGTTGTTTAAAACGACCCATTCGTTCATTCGATGGTGTCATGTAATTCCGTCGTGGTTGTTCATGTAGAGTGCTAAAACCATTGTGAACAGACCTCACCTCTGGATAAAGTGATGATGCCGAAGAGGGATAAGGTGGTGATGTCGGAGAGGGATAAGGTGGTGATGCTGAAGGGGGATAAGGTGGTGGCGGCGAAGAAGCTGAAGAAGGATAAGGTACTCTTGAAGACATTGTATGTGATACCAAATAATACTCTAAAAAAGAGAAAAAGAGTTATAAGATTTCGTTGTATTTAAATAATTCGTCTCTGCTGGCGGTCTTCTCATTAGAAAATCCATACGAATTTTATTTTGAATTGCAAAAGACATTTACTGAGTCACGGGGAAAAAACCAAGTTGTTTAAGTTTGTTTAAATATCCAGGAAAGATTTTATTTAAAACATGAATATTTTGTTTCTTGTTCACATTTCTAACCTACAAAAGTCATATAAATTGAAAACAGAAACAGAAAAATATGACTGGATTAAAAGAAAATTCTGAAAGAGAAAAGAACAAGAAAACTATACGCCTTGTCCAAACATCAGTGACGGACGTGACAGAAAAAGATCCTACATCGCGAGTACATCCAATTTAACGCTAATTTGTCACATAAATCGATAGAATATCACCAAATCTATGGCAAATATAAACATCAAGCTTTTTGGAGGACATTAAATGCCTGAAAATTCACTGACAAAAAGTGTGTCACGCCGTCACATTTACTTATTGACATTTATAAGCGAGGGAAAGGCTTTGGAAGAAAATTCTTTTTAGTATTGGATAGCTCGTAAGCTTTTCTACAGCCGTCACTCTAGACAGTTTCCATTTGCTCAAGTCATTTCGCAGGAAATTAGCGTTAAATTGGATGTACTCTCGATCTAGGACCTTTTTCTGTCACGTCCGTCACTTACCGAATATTTCTTCTCAAAGCCGTAAATATTACCCAAATTTTCTCATTTTTTTACCACAGGCAGAGGACAGTGAACTGCACAAAATAGCGGCAGAATGATCTTTCTACCTCTTATAGTTGTGATAAAAATTGAGAAGTACTATGTCAAAAATGTCACACCCTTACGTTTGGACAAGCCGTATAGTTTTCTTGTTCTTTTCTCTTTCAGAATTTTCTTTTAATCCAGTCATATTTTTCTGTTTCTGTTTTCAATTTTTATGACTCTTATAGGTTAGAAATATGAACAAGAAACAAAATATTCATGTTTTAAATAAAATCTTTACTGAATATTTCACGTCACCTTATACAATTTGGTTCTTCCCCCATAACTCAGTAAACGTCTTTTTGCAATTCAAAATGTCGTATGAATTTTCTACAAGGGGAAAAGCACGGAATCCTAGAATCCTGAATTCTCCTGGATTCCAAGGATTCCGCATGATTCTACAGGATTCCATAGGATTCTCTTGGAATCCATAAGATTCCCTTGGATTCTCTGGAACTTTCCCCCAAAGCAGAACATTTTTGTGCTGCTGTTTGAGAAAAGTTTCCTAAAATATAGAACACTTTTGTTCTGTTTCGGGAGAAGTGTAGAATCCCGGATTCCATTGGAGTCCATCAGATTCCATCGGAGTCTACCGGATTCCAAAATTTCAAAAACCGACCATTACTTTATATTATTAAGCTACAGACGCTTATTCTTGGTCTTAAGACCTTTTTCAGTCTCACAAAGCCCTGCCCTGCCCTCCAGGACACGACAGGGTGAAAAGTGTCCTGTGGACACGTGACACGACATTACCGCGAACGACATTACCGCGAACGACTTTACCGCGAACGACATTACCGCGAACGACATTACCGCGAACG